TAATAATTCTCATATCTGTCTTTAACTGGGAACCTGATTTATTTCAGCATTTATGTTGGAATTCTAGCCTTTCAAACTGACAGTATGTTCAAGGAATATGAAGCTTCATATTCCTTCTCTTTATAATTAGTTATTAATCTGTTAATCACATTTTTATTAATCTGTATTAATCACATTGTTAGGTGATAAGTGAATAGCAAAAGAAGCTTTCAAAACTGTTTTCCTGTTTGATTTCAAAATGTTACCATCGGTTCTTTCAAATTTGCAAGGAGTTGTTTATTTATCTAAATTAAACATTTGCATCCCCAGAAGTTCTAGGTCCCTTATAATAGGACTTATAATGGAAGTGTTGACGGAATTTTAATGCCTTGGCTAAGATGTTTTTATGAGAGGTTTTTTTCCTGAAACCTGAGAAAGTGATTATTTTTAGTAAAATATTCATTCTAGAAAAAATACACTTTCTGTATGGGATTTTGCATGATCACTTGAATACTGGTCTGCAATTCAAATTATGTCTTCTGTCAGTGTCAAAAACCACAAGGACATCCAGAGCAGAGCTGATGTGGTTCAGGAATGGAAGTGCTGCAATCCACAGCTTGAGTTACAGCCTTGGTATTCCATGTTATCGTGTGAACATTTAAGTAGTAACATCTATTTGACACTTTAAACAGAAACTGTGACTTAGAGGAAAGAAGGAGAAATAAAGCATTCAAAAGATCTTCAGGGAGACCCAGGCAATATGGTGTGACATGTAAACAATTGTTATTGTATAAAACATTTAATTGAAATGCCCAGCTTTGACTTGTATATCCCTTCACGTAGCTTCTTTTTTTTGTCTGATCTTTATTACCCTTCGTTATGCAGGTGTAATATGGAAGTGTACAGGCCAACTCTTCTAATCTGGCAGTGAGATTCCGCTCCTGCTAAAATCAGCGGGAACCTTGCCATTGTCAAATGGTGCATGTATTCAGGGTTTTCACTTCATCACTTACATTTATAACGTAATAGAAGGACTATTCGATGTGTCTGCAGGCATTTTGGCTGAATGTTGGTTTGGATGTTTTTGTATTACCCCATTTTCACATCCCTGTTGTCCCTTTATAAACAATGAAGAGAGATAGTTTCCTCCAAAGGATAATTTAGTACTTACATTTTAATTCCTGCTCTGAATTACCAACTGAAAAACTGTGTCTTATTTAAAAGAGTTGTTTAACCACCTGCATTTGGTATGTAATTGGATGAAATGAATACAGAAAAACACTTCCTTTTCTTTGTATGATTTTAATATATTTTTGCACTGTAGAATCTCCTGGACATTTTTGCTCAAAGATGAAAAAATAAAACTCTGGACAGTCAACCTTACAAAAAGAAAGATGGAATTTCAGAGTTGCAATGAGGAACAGAAATGGCTGATCTTTTTGGTTTTAAAATTTCCCCTGCTTATAACATTGGTGGATAATTCAGTGATTTCTGACCAAAAGTGACAATTATTGCTTCCTTTCATTGTAGGTTGGTCATACAAGCTGCTGATAAAGGAAACCCCAGACTCTCTGCTACAAGTATTGTGAGGATAGAAGTGTTAGATGTTAATGACAATGCTCCAGTTGTCCAACTGCTAGATGAAGTGGAGGTCCCAGAAAGTAAGTGTGATAGTACAGCTAAGTTTTGTTAAGACTGGGAATTGTGAGATAACGGTAGTGCTTTTGGTGATTGGTGTAACCAAACAACTAGTAAAAAGGGTAATGGATAGTATTAAAGCTGAAATATCAAAATTAATTGTGGTTTGCTTTTGTTCTCAGAGGCATTATTCTTAATCTTTGGACATTGTGTTTAGGAATAGTTTGGAACAAAACCATAGGCAATTCAGAAAGAGAAAAAAATCCGCAGAAATACAACTGTAATCTGTTCATTTTGGACTCCAGTATCATATCCTTCATATGTCTTCAATTTCCACTTTTTTCCAATAAAAATGCTTGGTGGTAAAACTAGCATTGCTAGAAATGAGACATTTTGAATTTCATTGTGATGAAAGAAATAATTTCTGTAAATTTGAATGAAGTGTTAAAATGCTCTATAACTTGATCCAGTTGATGATCATAAATAGGAGGACCCAGGACCTCCCGAGTTTTCATCCCAGCATACATCTGGTATGTTGTGTGCTGTTAGCTCAACATTGGCAGATCTTGAGTCTTAAGCCTGCAACTTTCAAATACAGGCATCATATATGTGAATGCGTTAAGATACACAACAGAAAATTTATAAAGACTTAGGTGTTGAAACCCCAGTACTTCTGTTAAGAAAAGATATCAAGGCTGTCTTTCTAGTGATATGTTTTAGCCTTTCCTAAATTTAGCTCCCACTGGTAATGACAAGTACAGAATTCATGGATGCACAGCAGCTGTAAATAGTAATTACTTATTTAGCTTTTTGTATGCCATTTAAGAACAGTTGCTTTAGGATATGACACAGTATTTTTGAGACCTCATGCCGCAGGCATGCAAATGGGAAATGGTTTAGCTTCTGTTAGTTCCAGGTTTTGTTAAATGATCACTGATAGGTTCAGTTTGCAGTTACCGGTACTGTCAACTTAGCCCATGACAAAGCTGTCTGTATCCAGTTTCTCAACCTCATAGGATTATACCTTGATAGACCTTAATATTTTTGTGCCATGTAGGTCTGTCTGGAGGTCTCCTTTATCTCTAGTGGCCTCCTCCTTTGGAAAAGCTTCAGAATTGCATTTGCTGGTTCTACACAGACCAGGGGTCTCTGATGCCTCAGTTAAATATTCTTGTGGAGGTTTGGAACGTTGTTCAATAAATTCATGTCACCTAAATGCTCGTGGAAAACCATGTAAGTTTCTGTTGGTAGCAAAGAAACAGTTATGACTACACTGGATCTGAGAAAGTCTAGAGAAAACCCAAATTAAAACTGGGATACAGCACATACCTTTGAAGAAATCCACTACTCTTTCAATATCGTTTCTGGATACTGTGCTTATTGTGAAACACAAAGTTAAAATACATCAAAAGCTATACTGAAAGTTTACATATATCAAAGATTCAATATTACAAAATAGGCAAAATCCTCAGAAATTGTAACATCATCTTTTAGCCATGACTTATTCTCAAAATTATTGTTTCAGATGCCCAGCCTGGTTTTATAGTGACTCGGGTGTCAGCAAGTGACGCAGACTCCAGGCCAGCACTTCGGTTTGGTTTTATTTATGATAGTCCTGGAATTAAATTTGCCATCGATCAACACACTGGTGTAGTCACAGTAGTGGAACCATTAGATTTTGAAGAAACTGCTGTTTATAAGCTGAAAATCATAGTTTCAGATTCTGTGCATCAAACAGAAGCAGAACTCACCATCCTTGTTTTGGACATCAATGATAACCCACCAGTGTTTACTCAGGATTCATATCAGGTGAGAACATGGCAAATGAACAACAAACATGTGATATCTTTCCACATATGATGATAAATAGTAGGAGTGCTTGTTTATATTTGTCTTAAAAATGCATTTGAGCACCGAGAAGAAAGGTCTCTGCAAACTATTTCTGAGCAGAAACAGAGCAGAGCTCTTCTGGGAAACCCCAGCCCCTTCCTAAGAGTTCTGCTAAAAGAACTGAGGGAATTGTTCTGTTTTAATATTTGTGGTTTCTGACTTCAGAAGGCAAGTGGTGTGAATGCTAGCTGTATTCCATACACCATGCATTCATCACTAGGAGTTACGGGATATTATCCAAACCAGTGGGGAGCAGGGTTCAGTGTTCAGAACTTCCTTCTTCTGAGAGAATGTTAAAGAAGTTGATACAGTTATTCTGGCCCTGTTACTATGGCACGAATTTCTTCCTTTTCAGTTACACAGCTCCACAGAGGTGTAGCAAGTGTGCCCCTATGGTAGTTCATGCACTTATAGTTTGTAATGTGTAACCCTGCCTAACAGTAATGGCGTTCATCTAGGGAGTGAGGCATAGGAGTTTTGACTTCCCCAGCTACCCCTACTGGACTGAGGAGGGTGCAGAGCTCAGCTTTTGGACTTTTGGACAAGCATTTGAACTGCTATACTGTTGTAGAAATCAAATTGTCTAGCAGTGAAACAAAGCAGTCTTAGTGACTATGGACAGCTGTGGGCCACTGAGATGATTAAAGAAATTAGAGTATGTATAAAATGAAATCACAGATTTCACAGAATATTGAGTTGGAAGGGACTCACAAGGATCATCAATTTCAACTCTTAAATAAGTGGCCTGTATGGGGATTGAACCCGCAACCTTAGTGTTATTAGTCCATGTTCTAGCCAACTGAGCTAATCTCAGGGTCATTGAGTTATAGAATAATTTGGGATGGAAGGGACATTTAAAAATCATCCAGTCCAACTGCTTGACCAAGTCAGGGCAGACCAAAAGCTAAAGCATGTTTTTAAGGGAATTTTCCAAATGCCTCTTAAACACTGACAGGCTTGGGACATTGACCATCTCTTGAGGAAACCTGTTCTGGTGTTTGACCACCCCCTCGGTAAAGAAGTGCTTCTGAACATCCAGTCTGAACCTCTCCTGGCACAGCTATTGAGCCATTCCTACGTGTCCTGTCACTGGGTTACCAGGGAGAAGAGCTCAGCACCTCCTTCTCCACTTCCTCTCTTCAGGAAGCTGCAGAGAGCAATGGGGCCACCTCTAAGCCTCCTTTTCTCCAAATGAGACAAGCCCAGAGTCCTTAGACACTCCTCATCAGACATGCCTTCCAGCCCTTTTACTAGCTTTGTTGTCCTCCTCTGGACACATTCAAGAACCTTCTTAAAAGGGTGGGGCCCAGAACTGCCTACAGCACTCAGGGTGAGGCCACACCAAGGCTGAATGCAGTGAGACAGTCACCTCTGTTGACTGTCTGGTGATGCTGTGCTTGATGCAGCCCAGCGTAGAGTTTACTGCCTCTGCAGCCAGGGCACACTCTTGACTCACATTGAGCCTGCTGCCAACCAGCACCCCAGATCCCTAAAACAGTATGGAATGCTTCACAAATTTGCGAGTCATCCTTGCACAGGGGTCATGCTAACTTCTTTGTATCATTGCAGTTTTAGTATATGTGCTGCCAAAGTGAGCGTGATATCACACAAGACTCTCAAGGGTAGGCTGCTAGAAGTGTTTTGCCCTGACTTCATCAGCCGTAGGACTGTGGGGCATGGTCTAAGGCTCAGCACAGGTAACAGCTTGGAGTTAGGGCTTGGGATGGGAGAGAGACAAAGCCTGGAGCTTCAGGTTAAGGTTGGCTGCTATAAAACTGCCACAGGAGAAATTGGGTGCCAGAGCAGTTGTTTCCTTAGGACTTGTTGGTGTGGGACTAGGCCTGTGCAGCTTGGACTGAGGCCCAGGAGAGCCTAGAGCATGAATAGTTAAGCCTGGAGAAGCAAAAGCTCAGTCTTACCAATTTGTGTAAATAATAGTGGGGAGGAGTAAAGATGGGCAAGCCAGATGGGCAAGCCACACTCCACTCTGTGGTGTCCAGTGACAGGACAGGAAGCAGTGGGCACAAATCAAAGTATAGGAAATTCTATTTAAGCATCAGGAAACACCTTTTTCTTTTTATTTTTAAACCTCTAGCAGTGACTAAGTATTGGCACAGGTTGCCCAGATCAGTTGTAGAGTCTTTGTCTCTGGAGATATTCAAAACACATCTGTACACAGTCTTGGGCACCCTGCTGTAGGTGACCCTGCTCTGAGCAAGGGTTGCACAAGATAACCTCCAGAGGTGCCCACCAGCCTCAGCCATTCTGCAATCCTGTGAACTGAGCTGTTTGTTTGATCTGGTGCTTTTTGTGTGTGGTGGACATCTTCAGAGCCAAAAATATGAGGCACAACAGAAGACTTGGATTGAATAATGCTTCATTTATAAATATCAGACAGATTTATTCAAGAAATAAGTGCAAACATTTGGCTTAGTAAAGAATTTTCAATCTATGACCAAGTGCAGGCGCAGTGGTTTAGTCATTTAGATACCTGTAAAACTTTCAGGTTGTCAGGATTTGTGTAAAATTCCCACTTGTACTCATAAATCTACATTCTGGAAAAAAATGCACTATTAATGCTCAAGTGATTTTTAGATCTTAGTTTTCTTCAACCCTCCTATGTGTCTGATTTTGGATAATAGTTTAGGCAAGTACTTTCTTCTGCAAGTGCTAGGAATTTTTTTGTAGATTGGAGCAGACATTATAGGCAGCATTATTAACTGATGCAAAACAGTGTAACTCTATTGACCATGTTAACATAAACAGCTGAGCTTCTCTTTTCCACAATCCTTATGTTTGGATGTGTTGCTTGGAGAGCAAGATAAAGTGCTGCTTTTTGGTCAATGATATGTATAATTCCCTATTCATCATCCTGTATTTTTATCCTTTTATTGTCCTTTCAAGTGTTTTCATATTTATACTCCTCATATATAGTTTAATATATATGTATGGTTATTATATACATATAAGCTCTCTGTTTAAATTATTTAAACTAACACTTCAAGTTATGACAGAGGTAGCTGCTATATCATACTGTTCATTTGAAATTAGATTTATACGGTGGAAGGAAACTTTGGTCACAAAAGTACTGTATCTGGACTTCAAATAATGAAAGTTGTTAAAAAGGGAATGGACTTTCATGGTTTCCTAGAGGAAAAAAGGGAGAATTTTGAAATACTAAATTCTAGGAATAATCCAGTGCTCTAGTGCTGGAATTTTCAGGGTGCATGTGTTGGATTTTCTTTAGTGGTCAAGCATATATATTCCAGCCAGAGACTGCAGACTGTATTCCATGTATGGAAATGAAGGTGTTTTTGAAAGCAAGAAGAAAAGCTTTTAGTTGCAGTCCATTAATGTAATTTTGAAAAAAGTGATTCATTTATTCTCTGAACTCACTGTCATAATGAGCTAGATGGATTTTACTACTGCTTAAAGTGTACTGTGAATTTTGGCTGTATTGAAGGCATAGTTTTCAATATCTCAGCTCTTCATAGTTTTGCCCCAGAAGAAAATGGGTAAGTAAAACTTTTTCCAAAGCTGGGAACTGTGTGTGTTTTTTTCTAATAAGATCAAATAAAGGCAAATGTATTTTTTTAATGTTTCAAATACTTTATTAAGCTCTATTTTTGCTTTATATGTCAGGTGAACTTGCCAGAGCTCATTTCTATGGATGCCTCTGTTCTGACAGTCTCTGCAACAGATAGAGATTCTGAGCATAATGGAATGATTTCCTACAAAATCCTCTCTTCTTCTGAGGGATTTTCCATTGATCACAAGAATGGTGAGTCTGTAAGCATGGCTTTTTATTTCAGCTTTTATAGTGTAAATTGAAGAGTCCTATTGCTTCCTCACCTCTTGCCAGCAATTAGTTGAGTTCTGGAAATTTTTGGTGGCCAAAGTCCATGCATATGTTTTGGCTAAATCTGCCATTATCAGTGAAGAACTGATTGCATCAAAGACTGGAGTTCTCAGTTTGTCCCAGAACCATGCATATTTTTGCTGCTCTAGCTGCAGTATGTGTGTTTGATACTTCATTGTCGTGGGGAGGCCTTGACTTCACAGTGTTAGCTATGAGTTCTTAGAATCACAAAATAGTTTGGAAGTGATCTTTAAAGGTCATCAAGTCCAACCCCTTGCAATGAGAAGGGGCATCTTCAGCTAGATCGGGTTGCTCAGAGTCGTGTCCAATCTGACCTTGAATTTTTCCAGGGATGGGATATCTACCACCTTTCTGGGAAATGTGTTCCAGTGTTTCACCACCCTCATAAAAAAAAAATAGTTCCTTATATCTACTCTAGCTTTACCCTCTTTTAGTATAAAACCATTACCCCTTGTCCTATCACAACAGCCATTACTAAAAAGTCTGTCCCCATCCTTCTTATAAGCATCCTTTAGGGCCACTATGAGGTCTCCCTGGACCCTTCTCTGGGCTGAAGAATCCCAGCTATCTCAGCCTTTTATCACAGGAGAGGGGCTCCAGCCCTCTGATAATTTTTATGGCCCTCTTCTGGATTAATTCCAATAAGTCTGTGTCTTTACTGTGCTGAAAACTCCAGAGCTGGACACAGTACTCCAGGTGGGCTCCAGCAAGAGCAAAGTAGATGGACTGAATCACCTCCCTCAACCTGTTGGCCACATTTTTTTTAATACAGCCCAGGATGCAGTTGGCCTTCTGAGCTGTGAGCACACATTACAAGTTCATGTCCAGTTTTTCATGCACCAGTATCCCCAAGTCCTTCTCCACAGGGCTGCTCTGAACCCCTAATCTCCCAGCCTGAATTGGTATCAAAGGTTGCTCCAACTCATGTGCAGGATCTTCCACTGAGCCTTGTTGAACTTCATGAGGCCCCACTTCTTGAGCTTGTCCACGTTCCCTCTGGATAGTATCCCATCCCTCAGGCATGTCAGCTGCACCACTCAGCTTGGTGTCATATGCAGACTTGCTGAGGGTGCACTCGATCCCATTGTCTGTGTCACTGATGAAGCTATTAAACAGTACTGGTCGCAGTACAGACCCCTGAGGGACACCACTAGTCAGTGATGTCCATCAGTGTCCATCCATTGAGCTGTTGACCCACTACTCTCAGGATGCAAGAGATTTACTATGGTTTGTGCAACCATTACAGTTGAGTTGTTTCCAAATATGACTGTTTAGATTCAGCTTTTGGAATCTCATTTACTTGCCTGTGGAGTGTGGCCTTTTGTTAATTCTTTTGTATTTTCAGGTTCAGTGTTTGCTACAGGACCAGTGATGCAGCTCAAAAATATTTCCACTATTCATCTTCTGATAGAAGCCATGGATGGTGGCAGTCCCACTCTCACTGCAGTTACTTCCATAGAGGTGCACATAGAAGACGTAAATAATTATGCCCCTCAGTTCACAAAGGTTCTGTACAATCTCAGCGTGAGTGAGGATGCCTCAGTCGGAGAAAGCATCCTCATGTTTTCAGCCATCGACTATGATTGGACCCATGAAAACACGTATGTTGAATACTCTATTATTGAGGGCAATGCTGAGAATTTATTCTCCATAGAAACAAGTGTCATGGGGTCAGAAACATCCTACAAACTTGTTGGCAGTCTGGTTTTGAGCAATGTTCTTGACAGGGAAACAGCTTCTTCTCACCATTTGGTCCTCCTTGCCTCTGACTGTGGAATACCCTCCTTGAATTCAACTGCTACTGTAATAATAACTGTACTGGATGTTAATGATAATGCTCCAGTATTTAGCAGCCCGGAGTACCATGTTCATGTCAAAGAAAGCATCCCTATAGGCAGTCACGTCACTGCAGTTTCAGCAAATGACTGTGATGCAGGCACTAATGCAGAGATCACTTATGCTATCATCTCAGGAAACGACAGGGGACATTTTCGCTTGGATGGGAAAACAGGATCAATGGATTTGATGAAAATGCTGGATTATGAGGATACCATGAAGTTCACTTTGATCATCCAAGCCACAGATGGAGGAGCTGATGTAAAAAATATGGCTTTCGCTGTTGTTTTTGTTAGTGTCCTAGATGACAATGATTATGCCCCACTTTTTTTGTTTCCCAGTCTGAACTGCATTGTCAGTGAAAATATGCCTACCTTTTCTTTTGTGTGCGCTGTTTGTGCACTAGATTTTGATAAAGGCTCCTACGGGCACATTACCTACTCCATTCAGTCTTCATGTTTGGCTCATCGTGAAGCTCCTAGAGACCATGACATGTTCTTCATTGATCCTTTGACAGGAGATATTCATACAAAGCAAATGTTTGACTATGAAGGTCAGAATAGGTACTGCCTCATAATCCAAGCAAAAGACAAAGGTGACTCATTGGCTACCATTACAGTTCAGGTAGATATTGAGGGGAGAGATGAATTTGACCCAGTGTTTACACAAGAACGTTATTTTTTTAATCTCCCCGAGAAGAACGAAGCAGGCCAGTTACTTGGCAGAGTGACAGCATCAGACAGTGATGGTGGACTGGATGGAGTTGTTCATTACTCTCTTCTAAAATCTTCTCCATTCTTTTCTGTGAATCAAACCAGTGGTAATATTTATTTGACTCAGACTGTTCACAGAAAGAAAAATGGCATCAAAAAGAATGATGGTA